GCCTCGCCTCTCGTCGTCCGCACTGGGCCGGGCGGCGGCGCCGGAGCGGTTTCCTCGCGAGCCGGTGCGGACGGGCGGCAGGAGAGGAGGAGCGGCCGGGCGGGCGGAGACGCTTGCGGGCTCCGCGCACTGCGCTGCAGCCAATCAGCGCGCCCACCCGGCGGTGACGTCGGCCTCCCCGCCCCCGAGCCCGCCCCCCGAGAGACCACGCCCAACTGCTACCCGGCCGCCTCCCTCCTGGCGGCTCCCGCGCGCAGAGCGGCCCAGGCGAGCGGGCGGGCGCGCAGAGGGACTTGGCGGGGCGTAGACGGGGAGCGGGTCGGCCGGGTGGAGAGAGAGCTCCGGGCGGGCGTGGAGAGGGAGCCCCGAGGGCGTAGACGGGGACCCGGACAGGCAGCGTGTGGAAGGAACCCGGACGGCGTAGACAGGGACCCGGGAGGGTGCGGAGAGGGAGCCCCGAGGGCGTAGACAGGGACCCGGGCGGGCGTGGAGAAGGAGCTCGGAGTGGGTAGACAGGGACCCAGGGCAGCCGGCGCGGAGAAGGAGCTCGGAGGGCGTAGAATGAGACCCGGGCGGGTGTGGAGAGGAAGCCAGGAGGGCGCAGACGGGGAGCGAGTCGGGTGGGTGGAGAGAGAGACCCGGGCGGGCGAAGAGAGGGAGCCCGGAGGGCGCAGACAGCGACCCGGGCAGGCGCGGCGTAAAAAGGCAGCCGGAGGGCAGCTGGCACGGACTTGAGCGGGTAACCCCGCCCGGCTCGAGAAAGGAGGTGGCGGGCGGGCACGGAGGTGGCCGGAGAGCACTGGTGCGCAGAGGGCAGCCGGTCGAGTGACCGGCGCGGGCGTGAGCGGCGGACGCGGCGCTGGGAAGGGAGCAGGGCGCCGGCTGCCGGGCTCACGCTGGAGGAGGAAGACGCATTTCACGTGCCTTGCAGCCGGCAGGATCTACTCTGGAGCGGGATCCTGGCTTTGAAGCACCGCGCTCACCTGGGGGATTCCTCCTTGAGCTCTGGCTCCCCTGCTTCCCGCAGCTCTACGCAGGACCCTTCTCAGCAACTCTCCCCGGGACCCCCCTCGTTCTCGGACCTGGGGACGCAGTCGGGAAACAGGTCTCCGCGCCCAGGGCGCACGCAGGCAAGCAGAGCTGCAGACGCCTGTGGACTATCAGTGCCCCCCCCCCCCGCCCCGTCAAGGGCCACCGCGGCTGGAGCAGGAGGAGACGCTGGACGCCCCGGCCTGAAGGTCGCCTTGGGTCTGTAACGCGCTTTGAAAATAACCCAAGGACAGTTTAAGAAAAGCAGTTTTTGGGAATCATTGCATTGCTGAATACTGTTTTGGTGCCTAAAACGTTTTAAATCCTTGGGTCAGTACACAGTGTGGATAATATAGCGGACCACTACGGTTTTTTAAACTTTTGTGATAACTTGTTAGTTATGTCCAACACCGCAACAACTTTAGCAGTATAGTCCAAATATTAAAATGCAGGAGGTATTTAGAAAGCTAAGAAAGAAGGTGCTTGAGGGAGAGAATATGAGAATTCTTAACGTTTTGGATTAAAAAGTTCTACAACCGGTAGTAAAAGTGCTAGAAACATAAGAATCACATTGTTAACTCTTTGTGGTTAGAAACAAAAGAATTACATTGCAGCTTTTCTGAAAGTGATTTCCGAAAGTGAACATCTTTATGTTGAGTTGAACATCTGTTGGGCTGTTGAGTGGATGAAACATCCCTTAACTCTCACAAGAGCTAGTTTGTAAATCAGTAGCAGGCTGAGTTGAAGCCTAAATGTGTTTCAGCAATAAGACAGTGACAGATTTCAACAGAGAATTCTTTTCACCACTTTGAGAGACTGGCAAAATATGGAGACCATCTCTCCTCCTCCACAATATAATATGCTTTGTCCTTACGTCATTAGGTGCAATTTGGAAATATAACACTGAGGAGGAAAACTTTTTGAGAACTTTTATTAACAAAAATTCAAAAGCCTAGTCAAATTTAAACTGCAACTCTCCCCCATCCTCCAGGGCTTGGTGATTTGGTGATTTCACGTTTAGGTTTTTCACTGTATTTGGTGATGTTGCCTAACACCTCTCATCCTGAACAGCACCTTCTCCCCCTTGCATTTCCCATATTCAGTTGTCCTTTTTTATTTTTTGTTACTGCTGATGTTACTGCTGCCTCTCATACCTACTTCTGCAGCCAGTGTCCACTGCACTGGAACCTTCTGCATCTGTTTGATCCCCTAGTCCTACATTTCTGAAGCTTAGGGTTAAATACTTGAGGCAATCGATACCATTGATCCTGCTGGATTGTGACAGGCCCCTCATGAGCCAGTCACTTGACTGGAGCTGGCTACCTTGTGCAGTGTGCAAATGCTTTACCCCTGAGCTGATTCTCACCTGTCAACGCCCAGTCATCTCCTTTCTTTAGTACAAGAAGCCGTTTTGTATAAACTCTGCTAAATACCATAAGTTTTACATCAGAATCCAGATGTGTAATCAAGAATGCAACTCCTTTATTCCTAACTGTGGCCCACTTTTTTCCAAGAAAAACCAGTGACACAAGATTCTCCATGCGAGTGATGGTGATTCTGGTCATCCATCACCTGGGAAGTTTGCAACTTGTCCTTTGATGCAATAGAATATCAAATGCAAACATACAGAAAACCACATTCAGAAGAAGTGATGGGCCACCTCAGTGTTTTTTTTCAGGGAGGAGTCCAGAAGAAAATCCCAGGGTCAGATAGGGGTGGGATCTAGCTGGGAAAACTCTCCAGGTGATTCTGAGAAGGAACTCTAGAAAGGTGTCTTTCCCTCCTGGCCTGTTTCTCTAGAATTCCTGCTCTAGATGCGATTATTTGATGGATTTCTGTATAATCAATTCAGATGAGCCAGACACTGTCACTGAAATTGAAATTGAATATGCAAATCTTTCATGGTGCTGTGTCCTATAAATGACAACTTTAAGAACAAAGTAATATTGTCTCATCCCTACTACATTTAGATACGGGCTTTCTTGCTTCTTGAACCATGAAAGGTTGTAATCTTGATTTTACTGTCTAGATACTTACATGCCACCAGAAAACTGATAAAGGTTGTGCTTTGGTCTAAGACTCTAGCTGGTAACGGAAGAGACTATTCTACTTCGGAGGAAGCTCTCGTGAAGTTGCACTGGCAGCCCTACGGCATCTGGCTTGAATCCACCTGTGAAAAACGGGTGCTCTCTCCCCATATGATGATTTCCGGCTCTGAAAGCTCACTGCAGGGCCAGCTGTGAGTCAGTTCTGCCTTGACAGCACATGATGATGACAACAACGTTCTACCTGGAAGAGGATGGACTAGCTAGGACCGTTGCTAAAAGCACAGGCAGTAGGATGCTTGGAGATGCCAGGTGTACTTACAACACGTGCTCCATGACAGGGGTGACAGCATCCGCATCCACCTACCTCAGCCGACACCCTCATCTGCTCCAAGAATTTGTCCTCCCTGGCCTTGTGGCTTTGGGCTTACTAGTTCCTTTTTTCCACACACATCTTCAGTTTCCCGCATTTAAGTAGAAGTATGGCTTAATGTCAATGATCATGTCTTAACTTCATTTTTTCTCACCTTGTTCATATTGTTGTTGTCATATGCTGTTGAGTTGCCTGTGACTCATAGTGACCCTATGAACAACAGCTCTGAACCCAGCCCTATCCCGAGTCAGTCTCACTGACTCTGACACACCAACTCGCACTGCCTCAGGTACCATACCAATCCATCTCATCCGGGGTCTTCCTCTCCTGTGCTGTCCCTCCACCCTGCCAAGCATGATGACCTTCTCCAAGGATCAGTTCCACCTGGTCATGCCCAAAGTATGTGAGATGGAGCTTCAGAATCCTTGCCTCCCAGGAAAAACTTGGTTTCACTCTCTCCAAGACAGACCTTATTTATTCTGCTGGTGGTCCACGGTATGTTATGATTCTTCTCCAGCACCACAAATAAAAGGCACCAATTCTTCTGTCATCCTTAGTCTTTGTCTAGCTCTCATGCAAAGCAAGTAATTGCAAAGACCGTGGCCTAGATCTCTAGACTGACATCATTGCTCTTTAGCACTTTGGAGAGGTCCCTGACAGCAGACTTCCCCAATATATTTCCTCTTTTGATTTCCTGACTACTGGTGTCAAGAGTTGATTGTGGAGCCAAGCTGACTTGGCTCATACAACTATGTTCATCCAACAAACATTAATAAATGCTGAGTAAACAAATGAATGAATGAATAAAGCTCCAGGAACTAAAAGCAACTGCCAGTACCTTCTGGAAGTGTGTGCATCTTGTTCCTGTCAGAAAGGGGAGGAAAAAACCCCTCTGCTCCTATCATTGGCGGGCTGGTCCTGAGAACACCTCTGACGTGGCCAAGGCCCCATGGGCCACTCCTGATTGGTCGTTAGGGTCAAAGAAATAGAGACAGCTCCTTCAGAGCCACATAAACCCGAGGGAAATCAGAATCTGTTAGGAAGGAGGAAGGGAAGGATGGATGCCGGGAAAGCTACCAGTATACATTCAATATCTGTGTTTACTCATCTGGCATTCTCGCCGTTTAAATTTTCCGAGGTATAAGGTAACTCCAAAACATTTTTACTTAGGTGACATGTAGCATTTCTTCTTACAGCAAATAGTCACCTCTCTAAAGCTTATGCTTCAAAACTGACCAAAGATCTTGCAAACAACATGGGTAAGTTAGTCATTGATGAATACTTTAAGGCAAAATTAATTGCACATTAAGATGAAAACTTTTTTTAAAGGTTCCAGAAAATGTTCTATAAGACAGACTTGAGTTGGAAAGAAGCCATTGATATTGTTTCTCTGACAGGATTCCCACCAATAGCTGAGAATTCAAGCCCAACACTGATACATGGACACAATTCTGGAAAGTGAGGCTTGGACTGAATTCACAGTCTCCTGAGAGTTGGGGTCCCACTTGCCAGAAGGGCTCTTAGGGATTTAGATTGATGAATCTCACCAAGTTCTCGCACGTGTGCACTGAAACCCTCAGAGGAACCTGGAGGCGCTCTCATCTGCAGAGATTACCCCGAAGGAGCGATCTGAATGGAGCCTGTTTCAGAGAAAACACAGCCTCCTCACTGGGGTTAGCACTTAAGGTATGTGATGTTGGACACTTTAACAGGGTAGAGACCTTTTAAAAATTCCCAGGTTCAATGAGACTTTTTTTATGTGGAGACCTTTTGCTCAGCTGTTCAAAAAGGCAAGGACTGTCTCCTAGGGACACACAAAAAAGTGGAATTATTGTTCCCAAGGTTTACTGACTGCTACTGGTGTTAGGTGCCATCCAGTTGACCACAACTCAGTGACCCTGTGAACACACCTGGACCTTCTCCTGTCCTGTACCGTCCTCACAGTCCCCACCGTGGCCAAGCCCACTGTGACACCTCCTATGACCGTCCGTCTGGTTGAGGGTCTTCCTCTCTTTCTCTGGTCTTCCACCTTGCCCAGATGGATGTCTTTTTCCAAAGACTGGCCCCTCCTGATAATACATCAAAGTGTGTGAGATGAGGTTTCGCCACCCTTGCCTCTCAGGAGTACTCTCCTTGCTTGTCTTCCGAGACAGATTTATTTGTTCTTTTGGCAGTTCCTAGGATTTTCACTGCCCTTCACCAGCACCACAGTTCAAAGGCATCAGCCCTTTCGTTATCCTTATTCACTGTTCAACTTTTAGATGCTTTGGAAGCAACTGAAAACACCATGGAAAACAGTCACACCTTAGTCTGTAAACTTGCATCCTTACTCATTAGCACTTTCGAAGAAAATCATTGAAAGCAGGTTTTCCCAATGCTGTCTTTTTAATTTTTCTCTATCTTTTCTTGATCACTCCTACCACGGAAGTTGATTGTTGAGCCAAGTACAATGAAACCAGACTAGTGGGAAGCTGGCTTGCTAGGTAAAACAAATTTTTGTTTGTTTTTTAAATTTTTTTATTATTATTAATTTTAATGAAAGTTTACAGAGACTGAGAATTTCCATTCACTCACTGCTGCACTTTAGATAAAACAATTTTTAAAATGTCATATTGCCTCAGCAATATTCTCTGGAATGGAATTTGCTGTAGCCATGGATTTTTTTGAGTTACAGAGTGGCTTAGTTATCAAGCGCTGCTGTAACAGAAACACCACAAGATGACTTAATAATAACAGAAATCATCTCATTTATAGAGGGCCTAGATGTCTAATGTAGGGAGCCCACTCTGAGGGAGGCTGTTCTCTTCGTGGAGCAGGTCTGGTCTTCCCTACAGATCTGTATGGAGAGGGTCTGGTCTCCTAGCAACAGCTGCAGGCCCAGTCTTCCCTGGAGAACTGTGTGGAGTGGATCTGATCTCGCCACATCCGGAGGCCCTGTCTTCCTGGCAGATCTGTGGGTGTCTTCATATCAAGCTTCCCCTGGTTCCAGCAGGCTCTCAGCCCAGGGACCTTCATCCCAAGGACAAACCTGATGCCTGCCTCTCCATTCTTGGTTCTTCTGAGGTTTCTCAATCCAATAAGACGAAAGGCCATACATACCTCCATCTCTTCAGGACTATGACCTGAGTAAGAGCTTTGCATCTCACCTTAATCTCTCAGTGAGGGGTGATCAACTCAATACATACCTGCCTGATTCCTACTTGTCAGACCATGGAATTATGGCCCATCAAAGTTGAAGCAATTCAACCAATGACATATTTACCTAATAGTGGAAGGACTGAATGCTATGGACTATCCCCTAGCTTCAAATTTGTCATCTCTTTTTCTTTGTAACACAAGTTTGATTTTGTTCCAAGTATACAGGCTTCTCCCAAAAAGCCTTTGTGCTCAGGGGTACCTTTGCCAAATCTTGTTAAGCATATCACTCAGAATATTCCATTCTCTTTGCCAATCAATTTAGA